AAATACCATGATTAATATATTAAAACCCTAATAGAAAAGGTAGACAATATACCTGAAAAGTTTGGGTAATTTTAGCTGAGAATATGGAAACTATAAGAGTTAAATGGAAATGTTAGATAAAAATAAAGCAAATGAACTTTGACATGCTCAACAAAAGACAACGTAGCTGAGGAAGAGTTAGCGAATTTGAAGATATATTAATAAAAATTACCCAAACTGAAAGATAGAAAAAGATTGGAGAAAACAAAAAACAGAGCACTTGAGAGTTGTGAAGCAATATCAAACAATCTAACAGATGTATTGTGGATTTATGAAATTAAAAATAAAATGTATGGTAACAGCACAACATAGGAGATGGAAGAATTGAAATTATACTGTTCTAAGGTTTAGACACAACAACTGAGGTAGAATTATAGTGTTTGAAAAAATATATATATAGTAAAGCTTAGGGTAGTCACTAAAATTAAAGAGTTAAAAATAACAAGTCAATAGTGAAAATAAAATGAAATCACAAATAATCAAAAGGAAGACCAAAAGAAGAGAAAATAAAAAATATGTGCAATATTTTAAAATTAGTATAATTGTATATTTTAATCCATACACCTCAATAATAATATGTATATGGCACAAACCTAGCAATTAAAAGATGGAGATTTTCTTAAAATTTTCTTGAATTCCACGAGTGAAATAATATGGTATTTGTCTTTATCTGACTGACTTCATTCAGTTTCACCCATATTGCAGCAAATGGCAAGATTTCATTCATTTTATGGACGAGTAATATTCCATTGTATACATATACACCACCTCTTCATTATCCATTCATCTATGGATGGATACTTGTGTAGCTTCTATATCTTGGCTATTGTAAATAATTTGTAAGAAGCATAGGGGTGTATATATCTTTCCAAATTAGTGTTTTAATGGGGGGTAAATATCCAGTAGTAGAATTACTGGATCATATGCTAACTCTGTCTTCAATTATTTTGAGTAAACTCCATACTGTTTTCCACAATAGCTGTACCAATTTGCATTTCCACCGATAGTGTACAAAGGTTCCTTTTCTTTCACATCTTTGACAATACATGTTATTTCTTGTGTTTTTGATTTTAGCGTTCTGACAGGTATAAAGTGATATCTCGTTGCAGTTTTGATTTTCATTTCCCTGATGATTAGCGATGGAACAAAACAAATGAACAAAGAAAAAAAAGAAAAAATCAGACTCTGAATCCAGAGAACAAACTGGTGGTTGCCAGAGAGGAAGTGGGTGAGGGGCTGGGTGAACTAGATAAAGGGGATTAAGAGTACATTTATCTTGATGAGTATTGAGAAATGTATAGAATTGTTGGTTCACTATATTTTACAGCTGAAACTAGTATAATACTACATGTTAATTATACTTAAATTTTAAAAGACAGAGATTATTAGATTGAATAAGAAAATAATGCTCAATGATATGTATCTGTATGAAAGCCATTTTAAATGTGAGTATACAGATAAATTAGTCAGAAAAGTAAAAACAGAGAAATATATGCCATGTAAACATTAGTTAAAAGAAACCTGAGGTGGCTACACTAATGGCAACTAAACTTCAGGAAAAGAATATTACCAGGGTGCCTAGGTGGCTCAGTCAGTTAAGTGTCCAACTCTTCATTTCAGCTCAGATCACAATCTCACAGTTTGTGAGTTTGAGACCTACATCAGGCCCTGTGCTAGTAGCACAGAGCCCATTTGGATTCTTTTTCTCCCTCCCTCCCTCTCTGCCTCTCCCCTGTTCATGCTTGCGCTCTCTCTCTCTGTCTCTCTCTCAAAATAAATAAACATTAAATATTTTTTAAAAAAAGAACAAAGAATATTACCAGGGAAAAAGAAGTGTGTTTGAAATGTTAATGTCAAAATGTTATCAGGACATATGAATCCTAAAGATACAATACATCTAACAACAGTACTTTAAAAGACATGCAGCAAAGAACTAAAAAGAGAAATAAGCAAATCCACAATTATACTTGATGGCCTCGGTACTTCTCATAGTAAATGATAAAATAAAAATACTGTAAGGACATGGAATTTCCTTGGCATTGGAATGAAAGGCATTCTCAACCAACTTGACCTTTGTGATCTTTATAGGATACCTCACCCGAAGCACCTGAATACATACTCTTTTCAAGGACATGTGAAGCATTCATCAAGACAGACCATATTCTGAATAAAACAAATCTCTACAACTTAAAAGATTTGATTGAAGTCATACAGGTACGTTTTTTGACCATAATGAAATCGACTAGAAATCAATAACAAAAAGATACCTGGAAATGGGAAATATTTGGAATGTTAACAAAGCATGTCTAAATAATTCATGGGTCAAAGAACTAGTCTTTGGTATTTTGAACTGAATGAATGAGAAAGCACGATATATCAAAATCTGTAGGAAGCAGCTAAAGCAAGGCTTAGAGGGAAACTTATATATTTACATTTGAAAAGAAGAATGTTCTTAAATAAAGATTTAAGGTTCCACCTTATGAAGCTATAAAGAGAAGAGCAAATTAAACCCAAAGCAAGCAGGGAAGAAAATAATAATGGTAAGAGCAGCAAACAATGCAATTGGGAAAAAAATAGAGAGAAAAAATTAATGAAGCCAAAAGTTTGCTCTTTGAAAATATAAGTAAATTTGATAAAAATTTAAATGATTAAGAGCAATACTTCTTCAAAGTTATTTCTAGGTAAGCTTTTTCCTATGTGCATAACAGTAACATAATTTCAATCATTTGTTCATTTAACAAATACTTATTTATCACCTTTTATATGCCAGGCACTAACCAGTGTTCAAAACAAAATAAAAATTCTTGCTGACAACCCAACCAACAAAATTTTAATTAGAGGCTACTTTATGAGAAGCTATAAATAAGCCATGTTTTTTGTAGAATTCTTGTGAAAGTTGCTAGACAAACAGGATTGAATGCTTTCAAAATGTTTTGCACTGTACACATATGGTCAATTTGACTTTTGTGGTAACTGGGTTCACACGATCTCCCAAAAGACAGAAACCTTGACAAATACCATCCTTTCAACACACACACAAGCACACACATGTCCTCTTCTAATGTAGAAAGCAATTTGATTCTAAGGTGAGGTCACAAGCCCAATAGGACTATCTATTCCTTACATTTTAATTTGGGACGTTTCTATTAGCATGTCTTCAAGCTCACTGATTCTCTCTATAGTTTTGTCCAAGCTACAATAAACCTGTCAAAGGCATTCCTCATCTCTTACAGTGTTTCTTATTTCTAGAATTTTCTTTGGATTCTCTGAGTTTTCCATTTATCTGATTACATCACCCATCTATTCTTGTATGTTGTCCACATTTTCCATCAGATCCTTTAGCATATTAATCATAGTTATATTACTGTTTAATAATCCCCCAGTCTGTTTCATAGCTGAGTCTAGTTCTGATGTTTAATTTGCCTTTCAAACTGAGTTTTTCCTTGTATTTAGCCTTGTTTTTTGTTGAAACTGGCTGTGCTATATTGGATAACAGGAATTGAGGTAAATAGGGCTTTAATATGAGGTTTTTATTACATGGCTAGGAATTAGGCTGTGCTTAATGTTTGCTGCAGCTGTTCATTTTAGAGCCTTCAAATTCCTCTTTTGTTTCTGTCTCCTGTTGTCTTTGTCTTTCCCTAAGAATTCCTTGTTAGTATGTGTTCTTGCAGCACTTTCACCTGTACTCACCTGTTACTATATTGAAGCATTGGTGGTGCAGTAAGAAAGTGTGGGAAGCATTCTGTAATTTTATGATTAAGCCTCTTTAAACCTCTTTGGGTTGTGACCTTCACAAGTGTTTCTTAGCTTCCTCCTTTCTACTTAGGAGAGACTGGCAGGCTGAAGGAAGCTATAGTCAGAGATCTTTTCTTGGTAGGATATAGCTTTGGTACAATCTTTTCTTCTGGAAAGCAGGCCTTTATTAAGAAGAAGCCTCTAGATATATTTGATAATAATGATTAATCTTCTCTGCCTCCTAGAGCCACAGAAGATCTTGGTTTTTCACTAGGGGAACTTGCTGGAGTTCCTCAAAGCAAAACCAATGAAGTGTCAGGTCTTCCAAGACTGCAACCCCCCGGTAGTTTAACTCAACGTTAGTCTGCACTCAGTTTCTAACAATTAATCAAAATTACCATTCACGTATTTGTTTATGGCTTCAGAGGCTCCTGCTCTAGATAAGTATGTCTTGGCTGTTACTCCCTGGATTCACCTCTCCAGATTTCAGGGCTGTAGGTTTCCCTGTGACCTCAGTTCTTTGATAAGTCCAAGAAAAATCATTAGTTTTTAGTTTGTTGAGATTCTTCTGATAGTAAGGATAAGTGATAATTTCCAAGTTTTTATGTTTTGTAGCTAAAACTGGAAGTCCTTTTGGTTATTAATCTTTAATTAATCTTTATTAATCTGTTTTTAAATTCTTCCATTTAAAGTGGACTTTAGTGTGTCAAATAAACCTGATCACAACTGCCATCATCTATCTGCTGGCTCACTGGTACCTGGACCAGTGGAATAAGCTCCGTGTGGCCCATGCATTTTAGTACCATAGTTTACCAACAGCGTCTAGGGGGACGGTGGCCGTGCCTCCCACTGCTAAAGGTGAAGGCAGTCAACTCCTGCAGAACACAGGATGTTCTATGCGTGGAAAGTGACTTTGGCCCCGTGTACTAGATAGGAATTTGCGTATTTCTGTGTAAACAGTTAGCACAGACCTCCCCTTGGCCCCCAAACCCACCCAAATCGCAGAAGTTAGCCGCTTGAGGGAAATCGTGAGCGCCCTAAATGACTACAAAGAGCTCCCGCCTGTGTACGGGATCTGAACTTCCCGCCTGTCTCTTACATCTGGAGAAGTAGTCCCTCCGCCAGCCTTCCAAGAAGCTCAATGCCGATTGGCTCTTCTGTTCCCAATGAGAGACTGCGCCCTGCGCTGGTAGATGGGACCCGCTTTGGCGGCAGTTGCCAGGAAACCGCATAAACATCGAAGAAAGGAGCCGCTGCTTTGGAAGTGGGAGGCGGTGGCCGCTGGAGCCTGAGAGGGGGATTTTCGTCTGCCAAGATGGTACGCCGGTCGGGGGTCTCGAAACTACTTGTTTATCTATTGATTTAATTGTAGTTTAGAGCCAGCTTGCACCTAAAAAGGATTTGAAGTGCCTAATCTGAGAATTAAGTGGGAAACTACAATTTGCCTTCAGAGGCCTCCTGTGCTATTGTTGAAGCAACATCGCGGTGGCTTCCAAGCTTTTCCAAAATTAAGACTGTATTAGATCTGCTCGGTGAACATCTTTTTTCTCCTATTTCTGGAAAATTGGGAAAAGATTAAGAACTTTGAACAAATAAGTGGAGGGGAAGAAAAGTCCAGGAGAGAGTGAATGAATTAAGTAGCAGCGGCCTGACCTGTTAAATCTTTATTAGGAAAATCTGACCAGTTTCTGAACAGCCGAGGGGTAAGGGAGAGGTGTGGAATGGAAGAGGAGGAATTCCCTGTATTGTGGTAATCAGCTAGGTCTATAGAGCTTGACTACGGGTCTTTGAATCCTAGTATTGCTGCATATTTAAGCTGAGGAGTCTTGGGTTAAGTTGCTTTTACTTTTATTCTTCATCTATAAGATGGAGTATAATAAAAGAACTTTATTGATATATCAATATATTTATCTACCACGCGTACTTTTTTAATTTGAATTTAGGAAGGAGGCCAAAGGCCCTTTGTTTATTACCGTTCCCTGTTTTTGTAATGGGAGCTTACATCAGTATACTTTTAAAGTTTATTTATTTTGAGAGCGTGAGAGCACAAGTGGGCCAGGGACAGAGAGAAAGGGAAAAAAAAAAAAAGGAGAGAGAGAATCCTAAATAGGCTCCATGCTTAGCAGGGCTCACTCCCAGGACTGGGAGAGAATGTCTTGAGCCTAAATCAAGCGTGGTACATAACCCTTTGAGCCATCAGGCACCCCACATCAGTATACTTTTAAAAATTAGATTTTGGAATACCAAATTATGCATACTTTTTTTTTTTTCATTATAGGCTTCTGAAAAGAGAGTCCTGAGCTTCAGTGAAAGGCATCAGAAATTAGTAGATGTAAACTACAGCAAGAAATTGCATGTCCAATCACTAAGAAAGATACAGAATCAAGTTATAGACCAAATGGTGCGGAACAAAAACGATGACCTCGTGGAGCGCAGGAGATTCCTTAGATTACTACAGAATGAACAATTTGAGTTGGATATGGAAGAGGCCATTCAAAAGGTACATTTTACTATTCATTCTTACATCATTTTTCCCCCTTCATTTTCTCCTTGGAAATGATGACAACCAATTGCTGATACTGGAATTGAGTAGATAACAGGGTCAGGTAAAGGATGCCTCATTGTGGGTCAGTCCAGTGTAGTGGTAAAGAGCTGGGTTTTTGGAATTAGACTGTATGTCTTTAAATCCTAGTGGTGCTGTATGTAAACTGTGGAACCCTGATTTTACTTTCTTGCCTCATCTATAAATCAGGAATTATAATAGTACCCACTTTGTAGGATTGTTTTAATAATTAATGAGTTAATACATGCAAAGCACTTGGAATAGTACCTGGAACAGAGTAAGACTCAGGTTTTTGTTCTCATTTTTCTCATAAATAGGAAATCCATAATTACTGAGTTTTGCTCATATAAGTAAAATTTGGTTGCATTTCATAAAATTCAAAACAGAAAAATTTTAGATTATCTTTTTTGAATTTACTGAAATTAAACATTTAAACAATGAAATACATTGTTCAGTGGTAGAAAATGGACATGTATGTATTAGATTTGAATTTACTCATATTTTTGATTTTTGAAATACTGACTTGAAGAATTCAGGTACAGTACATGTGTAACTCCTAAAATATGGGGATAATTTTTCAATGGAAACTTCTAAATATTTTAAAGGATGAAGGTGGTAAAAAAGAGAAACCAATAAGAAACAAGTTCTCATAAATGTGAAAAAGGTGTTCTGATATTTCAGTATTTTTTTAATTCCTGCTTTACATTCAACATTTTGCAGGACATTGTGTGGAATGGCTAAAGCAACTTTTAAAAGTAGTATCCATCCCTTTGAGTTTCAAATTCATAAAGCTTAGACATGATTTTTTAACTCTGAGCAATAAGATCCTAGAGATTAGATTTTACCCCTATTTTTATTCTTATTTTTTCTTCAATTTTAAAGAAAACCCTAGATATCAGACCATCTCTCTCCTGTATACTTCATTATGCATCTTACAAAATACAGATATTTTCTTACATAGTAATAGAACAATGCCATTATCTCACCTAATAAAATTAACAATAAATTCTAGATATCGTTTAATGCCATCCTATAATCAAGTTTTGAGGATTACATCAAAATCTGCTTTTACAGTTGGTTTGTTTTAATCAGGATCCAAACAAGGTTTATATAGTATATATGGTTGTTATGTCTGTTAGGTACCTCTTAATCTAAAACAGTCTCTCCTTCATCCTTTATTTATTTTAATTTTTTTAACGTTTATTTATTTTTGAGAGACAGAGTGTGAGTGGGGGAGGGGCAGGGAGAGAGGGAGACGCAATTCAAAGCAGGCTCCAGTCTCTTAGCTGTTAGCACAGAGCCCAAAGTGGGGCTGGAACCCATGAACTGTGAGATCATGACCTGAGCCTAAGTTGGATGCTTAACCAACTGAGCCCCGCAGGTGTCCCTGGGTCTCTGGTTTTCTGACTCACCCCTCAGATCTTGGGAATCACTTGAGCTGATTGATTACCTTATTTGTTCTTTTCCTCTGGTGAATACAAGGCTCATCTTGTAAATTTCTGGCTTCACATCTGGAATCAGTCATTGTACCAAAAAGCTCTATTATCATGTAGTGGAAATAATGTTTAGAGACAATTTTGAGATTAATTTAGATACAATAAGATTTGCAAAAATAAGAATTGCAAAAAATAGTCAAGAGAATTCCTGTATACCCTTCACCTGATTTCTCTTTAAGTTAACATCTTACATAATCATAGAACAATTATCAAAATGAAGAAATTAGCCTTGGTACAATATGTTAACTATAGGATTTATTCAGATCATATCAGTTTTTTCCATGTTTACTGTTCCAAGAATACAAACTGCATTTAGTTGTCATGTTTCCTTAATCTCCTCCAATCTGTAAGAGTTTTTCACTTTTCCTTTCTTTTATGACCTTGACAATCTTAAAGACTACAGTTCATTTATTATGTTAGTTTTCTATTGCTGTGTAACAAATTACAACCAATTCAGTGGATCTGTTGATTACCTCACAGTTTCTGTAGGTCAGAAATCCAGACATGGTTTATGGCTGGATTGACTGCTTGATCTCACAAGGCTGAAATCCAGGTGTTATCTGGAATGTATTCTCATCTGAATCTTGGGGGTCCTCTTCTAAGCTCATTTAAGTTGGCAGAATGCATGTTTCCATAGTTCTAAGACTAATGCTCTTATCTCCCAGAGATTGCTGACATTCCCTGCCATGTGATCTTCTCCACAACATGGCAGTCTGTTTCCCTGATATCCACGGAACAGTGACTTCAACTGCTGTCATTTTTTTAGGGCTCACCTGATTAGGTCAGGCCCACCCAAGAGAATCTCTCTGATTAACTCAAAGTCAACATACTGGAGACCTTAATGCCCTCTTGATGCATTATATTGGGGGTACATGATGTTGATATGTATTATTGGTGTTAGCCTTGATCACTTATTGAAGTGGTTATCTACTAGGATTCTCCTCTGTGAAGTTTTACACTTTAGAATTATTTTATGCTTTGTAAATACTAAGTATTTGGAAGGAGATACTTGAAGGCTATGCAGATATCCTGTTTGAATTTTGGCCCACTGACATTAGCATTCACTGGTGAATCTTTCCTTTACCAATTATAACTTTCAGATTTTAATGGTAATTTTCTATTTTCCTCCTTCTTCATTAGTTGGAACTTTAAGAAAAAGTTGACCCTTCTCCTACTGTATGTTTATTCAGTTATTTATTTATGTCAGTTTGAATTCCTTGATACTTATTTTATTCTTTCAGTTATAACCCAGTGATATTGTTACTGATTTTATTCCTCCAGTTGTTCAATTCTGGCTTTAGGAAACGTTTTTCAAGTTGTCTACTGTGCTCTCCTGACATGCTCCACCTTTTGTTTTTCACTTCTTTCCAGAGTCGCAAGATCCCAGGCTCATTTTATTCTTTATTTGCACTGAATCGAGCACTTCTCTAAGGAGACATCGTTAGAGAATGTCGAAATACCATTGGAGAATGGTATTTAGGAGCTAATATCTGAATGATAAGTGTGCTCATTATTACTGGGGTTTTACTGCTCTCTTCCTTGTAGGTGGAAAGAATAAAATAAACTTAAACTGACCAATGCATAGACATGCATCTGTTTACTTTTCTGTCTCTCTGGACATATTTGTTAATAAACCATGAGCCTACATTGGTATTACTGGCTCTAATAACACAGTGGTTATTCTAGCTTTTCTCCTTTCCTTACTCATAACTGCGTTCTCCAACAAAAAGAAAGCTGGTTCTCATTATCTATAGTATGTTTACTTATTCTTTCAACCCTAGTATACAAGTAAAGTAGTCTCAGAATTGTTAACCTGCCCCCCTGTGAACAACACATTTACTTACTACAGTACAGAATTGTGTATAAATTTTTTTTTGTTTATAGCCATATATCTAGTTAAACACTGTTTTCTAAAATTACTTAGGTCCACTTCTACCCATCTCCACTGCATTTATGTGATTGTCTTTTTAAAAATTTTTATTGAAGTATAATTGACATACATTATTATAGTAGTTTTAGCTGTACAACATAGCGATTTGACCTTTGTATAGTTTGTGAAATGATGATCTCACTAAGTCTAGTCACTATCTATTTACCATATAAAGTTAATACACTATTATTGACTACATTCTCCATGCTGTATGTAAATCCCCATTACTTATAACTGGAAGTTTGTACTTCTTAATCCTCTTCACTCATTTCGCACTCCACTCCTACTTCCCTCTTGTCTGGCAACCACCATTGGGTTCTCTGTTTCTACGAATTGGTGTTTTATTTTGTTTGTTTTTGACATTTCACATATAAGTGAAATCAAAGATCGTGGTCTTTCTCTGACTTATTTCAGTTAGTGTAAATACCCTCATGGTCCATCCAAATTGTCACAAATGACAAGATTATCTTTATCGCTGAGTAACATTCTATTGTACTTAAAGATCAGATTTTTTTAATCTGCTCATCTATCAATGGACATAGGTTATTTCCATATCTTGATTATTGTAAATAATGCTGCATTTTTATATCTTTTCAAATTAGTGCCTTTGTTTTCTTTGGATAGATACCCAGAAGTGCAACTGCTAGATCATAGGATGTTTTTAAATTTTTGAGAGCTTCCATACTGTTTTCCATTGCAGCTGCACCAATTTATATTCCTACCAACAGTGCATGGAGGGTTCCCTTTTCTCCACACACCAGCACTTACTTCTTTTTGCTATAGCCATTCTGATAGGCATAAGGTAATAACCACATTATAGTTTTCATTTGCTTTTCCCTGATTATTTGTGATGTTAGATATCTTTTCCAGTGCCTGCTGGTTATCTGTATGTGTTTTTTTTTTTTTTTAAATGTTTTATTTATTTCTAGGAGAGAGAGAGAGAGAGACAGCGTGAGCAGGGGAGGGTCAGAGAGAGAGGGAGACACAGACTCTGAAACAGGCTCCAGGCTCTGAGCTGGCAGTCAGCACAGAGCCCGACGCGGGGCTCGAACCCATGAATCGCGAGATCATGACCTAAGCGAAAGTCGGACGCTTAACCGACTAAGCCACCCAGGCACCCCAGTATGTGGTTTTTAAAAAGAGTCTGTTTAGGTCCTCTGCTTATTCTCTTTTTTTTTTTTTTTAAATGTTTTTATTTATGTCTGAGAGAGAGAGAGACAGCATGAGCAGGGGAGGGTCAGAGAGAGAGGGAGACACAGACTCTGAAACAGGCTCCAGGCTCTGAGCTGGCAGTCAGCACAGAGCCCGACGCGGGGCTCGAACCCACGAACCGCGAGATCATGACCTAAGCGAAAGTCGGACGCTTAACCGACTAAGCCACCCAGGCGCCCCCTTCTGCTTATTCTTTAATCAGACTTTATCTTTTTGTTTTTGCGTTTTATGACTTTATATATTTTGGGTATTAACTCCATGTTGGATATATGATTTGCAAATACTTCTGTCATTCAGTA